TGATTAAAAAACATTAGGACCTGACCTTTGCACAGTAAATCTTATATGTCTGGAGCTATGTAATTTTCCCTTTATAAAATGTTACAAAAATATTTTGGCCCATTTGAAAGAGTCCATCACATTCCAACCCAACAACCCACAAAATACCCAATTCACAACCCCCAACCCGACCCGCTTAGTTAAAAAGAAAAATTGAAAAAAAAAAAAAAAAACCGAAAGGAACGAAATCACACAACAGAAGCCTTAAGCTTCCAATCTCTCATTCTCTCTCGCTATTCCCTCAAATCGCCAACGCCGACCTTCATTTTTTAGTTTTCGAAGCTGGTTGTCGGTTGCCCATGGACAATCAGTGCTGATTGTCCTCCAACTTCTGACTAAATCCCGTTTGAAGTTGACGTTAATAGTTATTGCCAGTCAGCTTCTTTCTTTTTTTTTTTCATCAAGTTTTTGTTGCTTGCTCTGTTTTTCAAGATTTTGTTGTTAGATTCTATAAAATTCCTTGTAGGTGGTTCTTTCTATTTTGATTTCATTATATAAGTACTTTACAGAATTTTGAATATTGGATAGTTTAATTTTCATTAGGTTACTCCCAGTTTTTATTATCTTATAATGATTTTCCTTATTATTTTCGTTGGAAATGGAGTTCTAAGGAATTATCTGTCTTCTGCTGCTACATTTTTGCAACGGTTTAATTTGGGTTGAAGAAAATATCTTTTAAAGAAAATCATGAACTTGTTATTCTTTTAACTAATACGCATGCAATGGACCTTGTTGCAAACAATTTGAATAAAAAAAACATGACCAAGTAACGATAATGAGCTCCTTATAGCAACAAACTATGCAACTCATCCATAGAAGTTTGATTGGTGATATGCATATGTGACCATCAAAATATTTGAATAGTCTCACCTCATTTGTGATGAAACTTAATACTAGATTGTGTGTTTTTTGTGCAAGCAATCTTTTCTAGTGAAGAAGGAAAGTCAGTTGATGAATACGACTGGAGTCCCTTCTTCTGAACAACACTGAAATTGTAGCTCCCATTTTAGTTGTTTCCCACTGCATTGACAGCTACAAAAGGAAAACAAAGAGAAAACAGATAAAGGATCATGTTATTGACTGATGATGGTGATAATGTTAAAGAGATTGGCGGCGATGATTTTTTCACTGTTTTATTGACTGTGATGGTGATAATGTTAAAGAGATTGGCAGCGATGACCATTTTGTTTGCTTGTTAATTGCATTTTCTCATTTTTAATGTTTATGAGCAGCAGAGATGAAGTGTAGAAGTAAGTTGTGGCTGAGAGCTGGTATTTGTTGATGTTCTTTAGCTAGCACCTTGACAATATAAGCTTTTGTCTCCAAAACATTAATCTTTTTGCTACAATTTGGAAATAGCATATGCAAAATCAATGCAGCGATATACCTCGATTATGATCAGATCAAGTAGACACGTTAATATGTATGTGCACATTATAATGTTGTAGAGCATCTTGTTGGTGGCACATCTATGAGATCGGCGAA